AAGATCAGAATCCCCTCAGCGTCGCCTTTCCATGTCTCTATCTGCTCCTTGTCGTATTTTTTGTTCCTGTCGAGATACTTCGTCCAGAAACGGTCGGCAACGACTTCGTTCTCTTCGACTTCCACTTCTCCGTAGTCTAGGATAAAGTCGGAGTCATTTTATGTGTCGACTCACACGTGGAATCCAGACGAGATATCACCTTGATTATACTTCCTGTATCCTAGTTTGTCGTCGCGGACTAGATCATTGGGGGGGGGGGCAATTTCAGTCGAAGGATATAAATTTGAGTCCGCACGACGTCATCCACACCTGGCCTGTAGTCGCGATTTGAGGCGTCGGACAGTAGATCACGTTTCAGCGATTCAAGAACGTCCTTTGGCGACTGTGCTGTGGTAACGCGCTCTGAGGGAGCCGCGTCCGTGCTGAGTTCTGACTCCAATGTCAACGATTCGAGATCCATAGCGAGCAGAGTATGGGATCAGTCGCGCGGCTTGCTTCCATGTTGCCATGTGAGGATCGATATGAGAATGTATGCGGAAGATTCATACCTGATTCAGAAGTTGAGGTGACCAAAGCTTTCACTGTCCTGCCAGTGGCCTGTCCTGGTCTGTCCTGGCGTCGTCCGTTCGGCGCTGTATATTAGCGCCTGATGAAGTTCGGGGGAAAGGGGGAGCGTTGGTTGTGGGCACGCTGAATGGACTATATATATGTGGATTGCCCGAGTGCCCTCGGACGCCGCCTGACGCTGCATCGCCGGAAGAGCATGGGCGAACGTGAGGCTGTGTTCGACGGTGGATGTGTGGATCTCGAGTCTCAGAAAGACACCAGGTTGTCCTGGAGTCGTGAGGCGATGCGGGAGTGTGTAGACCCCGGAAAAGAGAAAATATGACCCGGTCGAGCTCAGCCGCATCTCGAGTCCCTATGCAGTACTGTACCAACTTGCGCATCCTCACCGTGACATTCTCTCTCAGCGTTGTCGTCTCCGGCATCCACTGCATGGCCAACTTGCGAGAACTCACGCCTCCATACCGAAGAACGGGGCTCAATGGGATTTCTATATTGATTCTCTTTACCTCTCTTCATGGTCCACGAGTCACTAGCGACGGACTGGCGAAACCACGCGACGGACAGCTCCCGACGGAGAATATCTGGGCAATTCTTCGAAAGTACTGCGCCGTACATCGACGTCAAAATTGGCGGCGCGCCTTCCTAGACGGTGAGCGCAGAGAGACAGCGTCCTTGCGCGCGATGAGGGGGGCGCGAGGCCATCTTAGGCCTTGTCTTGGAAGTACGTCCGCTTTCTCTTCACCCTCCCCCTCTGTTTGCCTTTCCTCTTCATGCCCCCGTCAAACATCTCCTTCCTATAACTTTTCCCTACACTTCCCCGCTTGTGGATTCTTTTCCGCATACTGCACCCTTTTCGTTTCTTGTGGGGCCGCGTTTATACGTCAAGGTTCCACTGTCGTACACCGCGCTCTCCCCTCATTCTTGCTCATCTCTCCTAGTGTCCCTCTACTTCTCTTCATCTCACCTTTCTTTGTGTGAACGAACATAACGCTCTTCGAGACGTAGCCTCCCCCGCTGCCATGCACAAGCCGCAGTCTCTTCCCTCTTCCTCCTTTTTGTTTTCCTATCCTCTTGTTCCTTTCTCACATTTTCTTCCGGACTTTACTTCCGTCTCCCTCGAAGTGGACGAACGACTGAGCGTGCTAATCGAGTTTTCCGCCACGGCGCCACCCAGTGATGTAAATGCCAACGTACCAACCGCCTTCACCGGCACCGATCCCCCTGCACCCCTTATGCCACTCTCCTTCTCACTCCTCCTCAGCCTCGGCGACGGCACCATCCTGGCCTATCACCCACAAAATATTCGCTTCACCATGCTCACCGCCTTCCGGACACCCCGTGTTGTGCACGAGTCGGCCCGCAAGAACCAATCTCAACCAAACC